AAAGCATCCCTGTGGCAAAAAAAACCCCAGTATGCAGTAATCCGTACAAGCAACCTCAGGCTTTTTTCTCTTATTATTTTTGAATGCAGTCCATCAGAGGAATACTGCTAAGAAGTAATCAACAGTATTCATGAATGGGCACCTCTTATATTTTGTCAGGGATTTAAAAATTGTAGGCAGCTGCACAAACTAACCTTGAAAAAGACAACAGAGTGTTCTCAATTGATCCATAGCACATAAATGATGAATAACCATTTGCTTCATAGACAACTTTGCCTGCCATTTTGCTGCTAGGCAAAATGCAAATAGAAAATTAGATCTAAATGCTACAAGAAATTTTGAAAACAAACCCACCAAGAAATAAACCAACAATACAGTGAACAACAGAATTATATAATTCTGCAGAAAAGTAGATACAGTCCTGAAGTTCATCTAAACTCAACAGAAGCATACCAACTTTTTTTTGCCCCTTAAATTCTCCTTGGGAATGCTAGACCTGAACCTCTGCCAAAGAGCAAAATCTGCAACAGGGCAGGTGCAGCTTTTGTGGCTGAAGTTCTGTGCCTTTTATGTGTGACATCACTGCACTTACAAAAGTGATGGGCCTGCTCTTGTGATGTCACACCCGCCATCTTGCAGATTTTGGCCCCTCTTGGGGATGCTTCTTGGTTCTATAATAATTGGGCCTGGAGCCTAACTTAAAATCCTTTTCAGTCATTCTGTTTCTCCCATATAAAATGACAGGTCTCCTGCGTGATTTGCTAATCACAACTCAAACCATTTTTGAGGCCACATGCTCATATTGAAACCTTTGTCTCGTGCCTACAGTGCCCACAGTCGAGGCGATCTACCTTTGCCCTTAGCGGTTCCAGTTGAACAGTTTTCTTTTGCTAGACATGTATGTGGATTTACCCTTCATTCATGAGCTTGGTGAGGATGTGGCTAGGGGTTGCTTTCCCTGACGAGACCATTAAATGAACGTGTGAGTGGTTAAGCAGAGCATGGGAGGCCTCAGGGATAGGGCAGGCCCCAGGCGACCTAGCACAGGCCCAGGCCTGCTTGCCCCTGGTCTCTCCCACCCTGAGGGATTTTGTGCTCCACTCCCTGCCCCTTGAGTTCACCACAGGTCTTGGCCTGCTCCCAACCCAGGCATTCAGCCATCCAAGGTGGCCCAAAGGTGGGCAGTGTAAGACTAGACCTAAGCCACCATACGTAAGCACATAAACAGGATGGACAAAAGCCAGGAAAAGCTCCCTCAGGGAAAGTAGTTAAGAAGGAACCAAGTCATTGGTGAAACAGGGAAAAATATCACCTGCATCAGACGAAGGAAGTTGGGCCTGAGCACATGGAAAGCCCCTACCCAAGTCCCACCATGCAGAACAAAGCAAGGCTTTGGGGAGATAAAAGGGGTCCTGAAGCCCACCAACTCTTTTGAGTCTTTTTTGGATCCAGACGTAACAGCTTCCATCCCTCTGACTAGTGCCTGGCAAGCCTAGTTGAGGTTGTTGTGTAAGTGTGGATGAGAGCATGGGTGTGTAAACGAACAAATAGATATACTTTGTAATCAGTAAAATTTGCTGTTGTTTTAAATTCACTGGGTCTCCGTGTATTCAAGTCAAAAGTGATTTGAGTGTGGCAATTTTTCAGGGCTGGGTGTGACCGTAAGCTGAACCTGAGAACTCACGTGTGTAACAGCAGTAAAAGCTACTAGCCTCCAGGGGCTGTTAAAGCCTGTAGGCCAGAGGTCCCCAACCTTTTGTGCACCAGGGACCAGTTCTGTGGAGAAAGGTTTTTCCATGGACCGGAGTGTGCGTGGTTTTGTGTGCTGCCTGCATCCCACAGATGGGGCTTTGCTTGTTTGTGTGGACTGGTTGCTGGCATGCTGCGGCCCGGTACCGGTCTATGGACTAGGGGTTGGGGACCCCTGCTGTAGGCCTCAATCTGCTTCTCCTCTGCCCAATCCAGGGACTTAATAGTCTGCTCCTCACTCACCTTCAAGGTTCAGCAGCGCCCATCTTGCCTTTCTGTTTTTTTTGCAGAGGAGCCTGGCTGATGCAATGAGGTTCAGCTTTCTTACAGAGATGGTCAACCTCATGGCATTTGTGCTATTCTCCTAGCAAGTAGTACTCCCTGCCAGACTGTAGGGCACTCCATTTTTAAAAGAGGCTCCAATTGTTTGTGGAGTTTGTGGCATCTCCTTAAAAAACAGGCTCACTATAGGTAGTCCTCGACTTACAACCATTTGTTCAGGGACGGTTCAAAGTTACAACAGCACCGAAAAAAGTGACTTGTGACCGGTTTTCCCACTTACAACCATTGCAGCATCCCCATGGTCACATAATCAAAATTTGGGTGCTTGGCAACTGGCATGTATTTACGACAGTTGCACTGTCCCAAAGTCATGTGATCACCATTTGTAACTTTCCCAGCAGCTTCTGACTAGCAATGAAGGAAGACAGATTCATTTAACAATCCCATGATTCATTTAACAAGTGTAGCAAAAAAAGGTCCTAACATGGGCCACAACTAACTTAACTGTTTTGCTTAGCAACAGAAATTTTGGGCTCAGTTGTGGTTGTAAGCTAAGGAGTACCTGTACCTGCTTGCAGAACAGCACCTATATACATTGATCTTCTGGAAAAACACACCTATTATTAAATAGAGTGGTACTTTGGTACTGGTTAATTGGTTCTGGGAGATGCGATGAGTACCAAAAATGACAAGTATCAAATTTTTCCCATAAGGAATAGCATGAGGAAACTAACATCAGTTCTAGCTTGCGCATTGAGTACCAAAAAAAATATAAGTGTCAGGACATTTTTTTGTCAAAATGTGACAAGTACCAAATTTGACGAGTTTCAAAACAATTGAGTACCAAGGTACCACTGTATATATTTCAATGATCTTTTAAAAGGCTAAAAAAAAATATCTGAGGTCTGATAGACCAGGGCTTTTCAACCTTTTCACCCATTGTATCACTTTTAGGATATGGCCATATCCGAGTACCACCAGTCGCCTAGCAAGGTGTCAAAAACTTGATGACCCTCCTAAAAGGAAAAAAGCGATAAAGTACAGGTAGTCCTCGACTTACAACAGTTCGCTTAGTGACTGTTCGAAGTTACAATAGCACTGAAAAAAGTGCCCCCAAGCCACAGCCGAGAAAGACACCTGCCTGCCCACCCGGTGGCGCTCTTCCTCCTGTCCGAGGTTTTCATTGTTGTGAACATTTCTGTTGAGGATTGGCAGCGGGGGGTGGGGTGGGGGGGTTTGGTTTTTATTCCCCCCGTCTGCTGGGTGGTTGCAGCAGGTTTTGGTCACTTCACATGACCCTGGGACACTGTGACCGTCATAAATATGAATCAGTTGCCAAGCATCTGAATGTAAATCACAAGACCCTGGAGATGCTGCAACATTCCAGCTGATCGGCGCTTCTTCTGGGCTCAGCGGAAGCACCAGGATTAGCGCCGAGCTCCAGCTGGAGCCTGCCGCTGATCCTGGCTCTTCCGCTGAGCCCTGACAGCCCTGCAGCTCCAGCCATCTCTCGCTCAGGCTTGTGCGGTGCTGCCACTGGTTCAGCTCATTCCCCTCCCCCGCTACTTTTCTAGGATGGTCGCGTACCACCTGCCAGGTGCCAATGTACCACAGGTGGTACCCGTACCACTGGTTGAAAAGCCCTGTGATAGACAATGTAAACAGGGAAATAAATTTATTTTCTGCTACACTTACCAATTTGGATATTTGGGAGCTGGGGTGAAACCGTTAAAAGAGTTCTGCTAGTTCCATTTTCTAGCTAAGTGATAGGAAGACTAATAATCCATCTGACAGTCTTCTGGAAGACTAATCAAGCTGTGTCCTAAAACAGCCTGGCTGGCAGGTTGGTAGAGCGGAAGATGACCTGGCAGAACCTAGCAATTTTCTTAACGTAACCTCCCTCACCCTGCATTCCTCCTCTACCTCACCAATCTTTCAGCTGGGCTACTTCTGAACATTGGTCAACTTCCAGTCTAAATCCTACAAGTTGTCTGTTAATAAGGTAGCAATTTTTGCACCATGTACATCATTTCAGTCCTGCTTATGCTAAACTACACTCATTACCTTAACACTACTTCTCCAGGCTGCTTAGTTACGTTTTGAACTTTTTTGCATTGTAAACCTGTTGACAATTTTGGAGTGAATTGCAAACCTGGTCATCTCTCATCTTCCAGGCAGTTGAAACAATACTGTCCCATTGTAGAACAGTGGCTTTCATTCTTTCATAATATACGCCAGCCATTTATCCTATTTTCTACTTTATGTTCTTTTACCAATCCATGAGACAAGCCTTTTTTATTCAGTGACTCCAATAAGGAATTTCATCAAAAGGCACCACATGGTAAAAAAATAAACTTCACTTATTACCCCTGGCACTCCTAATGTAGGTTTAAAGTGAGAAAACTTAAAACTTTGCTAAAGCTATGGCTTGATGCTTCAACTAAAGTATGGCTTTGGATAATTTATTTGGCATAGACCTTAAGTTGACCAGCCTGCCATTTTTTCAGATTACACCTCCCACACTCAAGTCCTTTTTTAAAAACCAGTCTTGTATTGGCTGCTTTCCAGCATTCTGGTACAAAGACATCTGAGACATATAGAATATCTTTTTGTTAGCAGAGGTGTCTCTTGATCAAGAGCCTTTCCACAAATAGTAAAGAATAATTGTAAAAGCACTATGTGAACAGCTGGATACAACAGTATGTGAAACATCAGGAACTTAAAAGAAACGGAGAAACTTTATTTGCAGATAAAACAGAAAGAAATGGAGAGGGCCAGGATTTCAGATGAGAAACAAATAATATTGATATTTTTTTTTTATTTTTTTTTTGAGGCGGGATGCCTTTTAATATAAAATAAGCAGGCGCTTTTTGTCTTGAAGAAATGGTTTGCATTTTCCGGAGCAGACACAAGGTAAGCATGATGAAGGATATCTCTTTCCCTGGGATAAAAGGAAAACCACAGCAATAAAGAGAAGGGGACAAGATTTATTTTGTAGATTTTTGTTCTTTCTGCAAGCAAAACTGCTTTGATATAAAATGAGTCCAATGATACAAAGCTATCATCCACTCAAGCAAAAGAAAACCTCACATTACAATGAATGCAGGTTATACTGACATTCTAATGCTAGTGTAAACCCCACCCCGGACCAAGATTGTTTCTGCCGTCTCTTAAAGCAACAGCACACTGAAAACCATGGGAGTATATTGCAATATTTATGAATTTACTGGAAGAAATTGTTTAATTAATATAATGGCAAAAAGAACTGTTGTCTTCACATTGTTGTGTAAGTTTCGATCACATGTCATTAACGTCCATGTTGTTAGTTCAAAATATATTATTTAGATTTTTGTCATTTGTATGAAGATCAAGTTCTGAGGTATCCTTTACTGTAAATGTTGAAGCAACAGGCCAGGCGGATGTATGATGCAAAAGGTTAGCGGTAACAGCTTTTAGTGACTTCTCTATATGTTACTGCAAACAACTGTTAGTTTACATTAAAAAAAATGTTCTCCTATTCACATAGAATATGGCATAAACAAAAGAAAAGTCGACAAAAACTATACACATAAAATAACAAGACTGATACACAAATAAGGCCATCTGCAAAATTAAAAATCCAACTCTTGTCATATTTCACAATAATTTCTACAGGATAATTTACATCTTAGAAACTTAAATATTTAATGCACAGGAGAAAAGAAAATACTTTGAGGAGCCAACTGCATTATCTCTTGGAGGACTTGTTTAATTTGCTGACCGGCAATCGTTTTTGGGGAGTTGGAATTTTGGAAGACTTTCCCGAGGCGGACCGAGAATTCGGTCGGGGTGTTGGTCTGATTGGGGTATGAACAGTTTCTGACTGGTCTGAGCACACTGACTGGATTTCTGAAATGTCGAAGTCAGAGGCATCGCTGCCCCGGCGGCTGCTTGCTCTACTCCCGGCTTTACTTCCGGCACGACTTCCAGGCCTGCTTGGTGTTTTTCTAGTTTCTGCAAGACAAAATGAAAGACATCCACGGTTAGTGGAACAGACAGCAAAACGGAGGCTGCTTCTGAAGAGGGCCTTCTCACATACTTGAAATCTGACTCAAGGTAAATGCAACTGGCTCCTTCTACTGCTTCATAGCATTCCAGGCTGAAAAGACATGTCTCGATTATAATAAGATTTATATAGCGGTAAAAACAAGAGAGACTGAGTTACAGACCGAAGGCTAAGGAGAGACAGATACTTTCAACTTCTGCAAGTGGGATGTCCACAAGGACGCACGTGGCCCATCCCAGCAAATCCAATACTCACCTGCAAAGTGTGCTCTGGCTCTTGTGGCTGCTGTTGAAATTAGGCCATTATTTTCTCCAGAATGAAAAACTTTCCCAGAAAGATATCCTGGAAGTCTAAGTTTACTCCCTTGTATTGGAGTTCCCTGTAGGATATAAGAGTACTGAGTGAATCATGGGCATTGAACAGGGCTGAACTTGGAACTCTACCCAGATCATAAGAAAATGCTTTGACCGGATAGTTTAAATGCTTTGACCGGATAGTTTAAAAGCAGGTCAACAGGAAAACAAACAGGCTGTATTTAGTGCTGCCTTCTTGAGGTAGGGACTTATCTGTTGTTGTCTGCGCAATGTAGAAAGCTACTGTATACACCGATGGGATTACAGTATATATGTATACTGGACAGTATACGGCATGCAGTATCTGAACAAATAAATCTTACACGTCAAGATATATACTGTATATAGTTACCAATTTAGGATCAGATTTCAGGAAGTGGATTACAGCCCTTGAAAGCTCATAGTGTATTTATGTATATTATTGTTTATGGTGCAGCCATTTTTTTTTCTGTCACAAACCACCGTATAGCTGCGTAACTGAGCCCATAAGATGGAAGACTGGAGGTTTCTAAAGTCCTTCAAAGAAACCCTCTGAGTCTTTACAACCTGGGCCCACCTCTTTCCATGGAGTAGCCCTTGATAATGTGTATATCCTCCATATGGCCCAAAGACCGGAGAATCACGTGACCAGGGGGATACGGTACTGGTCCTAAGTGTGAAAACAACCATGAGTTACCCATTTTCAGTGACGATGTAATTGGGTTGGTCCCTAAATGAATGGTTATAAGTCAAGGACTCCCTGTACTAATCAATATGGATAAACATAGCACCTTTCAGATTTATTTCTAGTTAATGTGTTTAATTAACATCTAGAAAAATGCAAATACATTTCATTGGATCCAGACTTAGCACAGATATATTGAAATCAGTGGGACTTGATTAATTGTGAATGACTTAAAAGTTGCATTGGTATTAATGGGTTTACTCTAAAAACGATTAAGCTGCAGATACTGTCCATGAACAGTAATTAAAATAATCTGAGTTCCATTGTCCACCAGCAGGCATCACATTATGTTCTGGCCAGTGTAACTCAAACAACTGTGTAAAAATTGAAATCCACATCCCCTCCAACATGCCGCTGCTGCTGCTGCTGTTGGTGGTGGTGCAAAACCTTGTACATGGGGGCATGACATAATGTACCCTCTGTGTCTTTCTGCTTGGAGACTGAAAAGAAGGTGAACTATGTACAACATTCTTAATGTCTATGTATAAAAAGTGTTGGGCCGTGATGTCATAAACTCTCTTCTTAATGTTCAGTATCAAGAAGCAAGATGCCTACATTGATGGAATTCAAAGGAACCTTCTGATCTTTTAGCGAGGGGAATAAATAGAAGCCAGACTTCCCAATATGGACCCCAGGCTAAATAAATCACAGAAATTTTTTCCATGGTTTATTTAAACACTCCAGTTGATAGAAGGAGGTACTGTATTTTGTTCATTTGTATTCCAAAGTATTATGGCTTAATGTGATGTGAATATAGCAATATTGAAGGTGATGTAAATATTTTTCGACATAACAATGTCACAATTTAATGCTTAACTTCACCAACGTTTAGAATTCTTAATTTCTGCAGCATCCCTCTTCTGTCCTGGATACGAAATTCCACCTAGTTTATCAGTAATAGTGATAATATTTGCCAATAAAAGCTTTCCAAAGAGTTCACTCTGCCAAAGTAAGTTTTTTGTTATAGTTAGCTATTGGCTAAGAACAGGACTAAATAGAATGGAGTACAGGTATGCCTCAATTTATGACCATAGTTGGGACCAGAATTTTCAAGTCGTCATTAAGTGAGTTGTGCCTGGTTTTAGGACCCTTTTGCCAGAGCTGCTAAGTGAACCACTGCAGTTACGTGAATCAATCATGTGGCTGACAAGCCGGCTTCTCCCACAGACTTTACTTGGCAGAAGCCAGCTGGGAAGGTCACAAATGGCAATCGCAAAGGATGCCGTGATGCTGCAACTGTTGTGAGTGCATGCCGGTTGCCAAGTGACTGAATTTTTAGCATGTGAACCATGGGGATGCTGCCCTGGTTGCAAGTGTGGGGGGTGGTTGAAAGTCACTTTTTTCAGAGCCACTGTAATTTTGAACAGTTGCTAAAAGTCAAGGACACCACCTGTATTTAAAAACTGACAATAATTCATACTCCATATAGTTTTATACTTAAGCAGCAGAAGTAATCTGATATTTTTTCTGTTCTAACTGCTGTAATACTGTATACGGATATATGATTATTGTATGAGATTATATTTAATAGAAATTATATGGTTTAAAGTAATATATTCTACCTAATTTGAAGTACGTAATTATTTAAATCCCTAATACATTTCAGTCACTAAAGTGCCAAAATAAGTTCCTTCTTCAACATGCTTTTTGGTAAATCAATACTGCTGGCAGATGAACAGCCACTCATTAAGTTCTGGCTCATCACGATCAGAGCAAAAAATGGGGAATTGTGGATTTCTTTCCCATTCTTGTTCCCCTTCGGAATGATACAACCGAGATGGAAAATGTCATGTTGTACGAACAAGGGCTCTTTGTATCCTATGGGCCCATTCATGGAATGCCACTCCAATTCACTGGTGTTATAGCAAGAGCTCCTGGGAATTGAAACGTTACCCTGCAGGCAAATCTTTTTTTTCTGGAGTGACACACTAACAATAATCTCCCAATTTGGTGCCACTTAATGATTATATATCCTGTAATATCCATTCAGCAGAAAGGGGATGGGAGTTGATTTCCAGCTTATCAGGAGAGCGTCAGGTTGAGGAAGGATAGCCGGAGGCCAGTTGAGGATATGCAAGATTTGAGGCTAAAACACCTCAAATTTAAATTTATCACTGCACATTTTAGAGTTTTGCAAATTATATTGTTAATAGATTTTCCCAGACATTTTTAATTTAATAAACTTCCTGACTTAAACCTAGGTGTTGGATAGGTAAAATTACCTGAAGACCATAATTAAACATCTGCATGTTTTAGCTCCCAACGAGCAAAATAACATTAGATTGCAAGCTAATTTATGAATAAGGCCCAATTAGTCTTTATATCAATGATATAATCAAATAAAATTATATTTAACTTACTGCCGACATAGGAATGAAGATGTTATTTGTATGTAAGTGTCTGTTAACAAAGATTTTATATATAAATTGATAGAAATTATATAAAAATTTATAAAAATCTATACATTCATAGGAATCTATAAATTTCACTTGTATAAAATCGATTATCATTTTGAAAAGGACTACATGCTCTACAAGGCCCAAATAGGAGTCAAACAAACTTCAAACAATTGATTAATTTACAAGTTTAAAAAAGAGAAAAATACAAAATTGATGGACAGAAGAGTGAAAACAAATACGAGTGCATTAATATGGAAGGTACAGCACAGTTGATAAGGAATGGAAATCGGTGTTAGCTAACAGGATAGTTTTAGTGAAGGAAATGTGGTTAGACTAAAAAAAAAAAATCTGTCCATTACTGTACCTCTGTGGATGATACTTGATATTCAGAGCACTCTGATGGTTTACAAGGAGATGACGTTTTGCTGTTTATCAACCATGGTTTACCATAGTTGCGTGTTAAAAGATGGGGTGTCTGTATGAAACAATGGCAAATCACAATGTGAAGAACAGTTGTTGGAAAACAATGTCATGAAATGGAACAGTCACGTTATGAAGAATGAATCTCACAGTAAAAGTCCAAAACAAAACATCAAAACTGAGCAGGACCAAGTGATGACAAGCATTCTGTATGAAAAAGGAGTATGTGTGTTTTCTAAAATGCAGTGGTGGTGGTGGGGGGGGTGGGTCAATGTTTTTCTCCTTGAACAAGTTGGTTCTGTGGTCTAATTGGCTTACATGTTTTTTCCCAGTCCTGCATGACCGCTGCATATTGTAAGGCAGGGGAGAGGAGGAAACAACAAAAAACTTCGTTAGTGTCTTTGGAAAAAAATACCTAAAATCTCCCTATTGGTTTTAGGGCAGCTTTACTGCTTTTAATTGCTGTTAGTTGGGCTCAATCCTATTAAGTAACATTAAAGATTGTTGTAATGTATATCAAGTCTATCAAAGATTACTCAAACTGTACCTTGGGTGTACTAGCAGCAAGAGCTGATATTGGAGTTCCTTGGGCAGGTTGATTGGATACAGACATGGATCTGTTGGGAGAAGCGCCCCTTGAAGAAGGCCGTGATCTACGTCCCCTTGATCGGAAGGCAGCCATACTTTGGGAAGCCCCATCTGCTAACATGAACTTCTCTCGGAGCTCCATGTTTGTCCGCCCTTTTGCTACAGTGAGTGAAAAAGATAAATTAGGAATCTGATCATTTTGCCTCTTCCACACCATTGCCTTGCCAAGTCTCAACAAATAAGCCAAACAAATCAAACACATTAGTAATGCGTTTGAAAAGGGTTCATTGGTAAAATGTGCGCATCTAATGTTCTAGGCCAGCAAAGATGAACCACGGTCAACATAAATCAGCATGATAATGGAATGGCTCAACATGCTATTTGGTTACTGAGGCACAGACACAATCTGAGGACCCACTCAACTAATGCTATTGCTTCTTGGGTGATTCAGAAACAGATGTTGGCTATGATAAGCAGACAAGAGAGAGAGAGAGCAAAGGATAAACCGTATTAATTCTAAACTAGAAATCATACAGTTTGGTAACATGCAACGCAAATAGAAACTCCCAAACTCTAAAGAAGGGTTTGGATGTTAAATACCAACAGAATGCTGTTATAATATGAAAGAACAGTGCACAAGGATCAGACACGTAAACATGTTTAGTGTTTGATGCCTCTCTGGGTTAGCAGCGATGGCTTTTGAGACACTTTCTCAAAGTCATTATTTAAATTTAGAGGCAAGCTCTCAAGCACCAGCCCAATGCAGCAAGGGTTAAGCTAAAGACTGTAATACGTGAAGCGTTTGGTTAAAACAGATTTGGATATATATATTGAAGCAGAGCGAGAAGAAAATTGAAAAGAAAATAAGAGCAGGAGAGACAAAGAGAGGGATTTGCCCACCTATAGTAGGCTGAGTGGTAATTGAAGAGTTTGATTCCGAACGTAACATTTTACTCCCATGATGATGAACTAGAAAAAATGACACAGGACATGGGTCATATTAAAAAGAAAATTGTTAGCAGGAGAAGAATCAATCACAGCAGATATGCAAGAGACTCAAAGCTGAAGAGCAAGAAAGAGAATCTGATGCAACTTTTTGCTAGCTCTTCCTAACCGAGATCAAGCCTCTAAGGAAATAGTAAAGACTCCTAGTATGATTTCAATAGCAAATACTTCCAATGCCATCTATGATAAAAAACAAAAACAACACTTCTCTGTCAAAATGAAGAAATGTAACCAAAAAAAAAAAAAAAAGGAATGGGACAAACCATGCCAACCTGAAAAAGAAGACAAAATGCCACACAGCATTTAAATAATCACTACTATTCACATTTTATCTTTCTAAACACAGGGCTGTTTTTTTATTATTATTATAGATTTTCAGAAGATTGAAATCTTGTTCCTCTCCTTCTTAAGTGAGGTCAGTCTTAAAAATTCTATTCTGTTTGGAAATAAATTTCAATTATTTATTTATTTATTTATTTATTTATTTATTTTCAATCTTTTTTCAAGGAGTTCAAATTGCCTTACAAAGCACATTTTTTTTTTCTGCAACGGCAACCCTATTGAGTATGAATGTGTTGAGCGTGGCTGGCCTAAAGTCACCCAGGGAGTTTCTGTGGCTAAGGGTGGACTTGAACTCGAGTCTCTCCAGTTAACTAGATCATGCTTGGCTAGTCTGGACTATTATGGGTGAAATACCTCATCTTAACTTTGCAAAACTCTTTTTGGAAAATTAAAAAAAAAAATCAATTTTGGATTCCTATTCAGGAACGTTGAAATTTATTTCAGCAAACCACAAAAACAAATTTTATTCTTGCAAGGTGAAGCTTGCTTATGACAACACAAAATACAGTATAATAGGAATCCCTCTCTTGAGTTGTATGGAAAATGAAGGAAATCTGGTTGTGTTACAAAATATTGGTGTTCAGTCCAAAAAATAAGGAGCATAATGTCTCCTTGTTCAACACCTATTTGTAGAAACTGCCAATTAGAATGCCTTTGTTAGCTTGAGTAGTAGCTGCTAATATGGGGTCTTTGCTTGATTAATTTAACCCAGGGCTCCTCAAACATGGCCACTTTAAGACTTGTGGACTTCAACTCCCAGAATTCCCCAGTTTGAGGAGCCCTGGTTTAACCCCTTTGAAACAACTTACCGTAGTCTCTCTCTTTTCCTTTCTAGTCATTTCTTCCTGTCATTTCTTACTTCCTCCTTTCTCTCTTCTTCCTTTCCCCATGCAACAATCCCTTGCCCTTATTCTGAGTCTATCTTGTTCCCTCCACCCTGTCTTTTCTTTCGTCAAAGTCTTCCGGGAAAAAAGGAGGACGTGTACACAGAAATGTTAAGTTTTGGCAGGAGAGAAGGGTTTGTAAATAGAGATGGAGATTCATTTTGTAATCTGAGGACGATCCATTAATGTTGTAAAATAAGTTGTAAGTCCTGATGTTCTTAGCATGTTCCATAAGGGCAACACTATCCTAATTGGCCAATCAGGCTCTAGGTTAGAGATCCCAGCTTGTATAGAACAACATGAACCGATTTGGGAATAAAACACTGCTTGTGTTGTGGCACTGGCCAAAATACGTCAAATTGATTTGCAGTTCATGGAACAGAAAATACATGCAATGGTAATTCACGTTCTCAGTAGAGAATAACATGGCTACAATCTAGCTACGATTGCTTATGGACATTCCCATTTTCCTGTCAAGCTAAGCAGGTAAAGCCTGGGGAAAAAGAAATGTTACCTGTAAAAGTCCAACTGAGAATAGTGACAACAAAAGGCCAAACGAGTCCTGAAAATTCTTGTATCTATCAAGGTAAAGACTCTAATACCCCATCTTAGTACTATCATCATCCCATTTTAGTGCCGTCAACACATGTGAGGTCTTTTATGCCTCTTCTGCTTAGCGTGAGAATTCAGAAAAATAAACTCTGCTCCTCTCTCCTCTAAAGTCAAATTAGATTCCTAGAAAGGAGAAATAAATAATATATAAAGTAGGGTAACCGCTTCCTTTCTTTACTAAAGGTATGTTTTCAGCACAGGTAGTCCTCAATTAACGACCAGTGCTAAAGCAAGGAAGTTGGTGAGTCATGCCTGATTTTATGAATCTTTCTGTCTTGGTTGTTAAAGCAAATCATGCCGTTGTTCAGTGAATCATACAGGCATTAAGTGAATCCAGTTTTCCCCACTGATTTTGATTGTTGTAAACCAGGCGGGAAGATCACAAATGGCGGTTATTGCAACTTTCATAAGTACGTGCCAGTTCACTAGTGCCCAGCTTTTGATGACGTGTCCGTGGGGATGCTGCAACAGTTGTAAATGTAAGAACTGGTTGAAAGTCACCTTTTTGAGCGCCACTGTAACTCTGAACAGTCCCTGAATGAATGTTTGTAAGTCAAGGACTACCTGTAGCTTGTGAGCACGTAAGTGATAATTTAGCCAACAGGAGGGTTCCACGATTATCCTACAATGCCATATCCACCATCTCCCTGCCATTATCCATGTTATCTGCCTTGCAGAAATTGAAATCCAAAACATTTGAAGACCATTTGTCTGCTCATCTCTGTCCTAGATTGTTCGGTATGCAGTACTTTTACATATTAATATGTATAAAAGTATAGCTTTATAAGTAAATTAAGATTGAATTACGCGATCGAATTAAGACACAACTAGCGAGTGTGACGTCCAAGCTATTTTTCTTACATACCTCTGCAGGGATCATTTTTCACTAAGAACTCATCTAGGGCCATCCAACCACCTCCAACACGAACCATAACGGTGCTCCGCAGGATACGGACGAGACGAAGCTGCTGGGAATCACCAAACTGTGCCGAAGAAAGGAAAATAAGCTAAAGCTTTCCTATATATTCTAAACAGCAATGTTTCTCCAGGCTAAGCAGGTTAAAATTAGCCACAGATAGATTGCTTTAAATCATTAGTAGAATTATTACCAAAGATATTTTCATTAAGCATATGATGATCAAAGCTGTTGTCAGATTGAATGTATTAACCCACAAGCTAGCAATGCGATTGGGGTGGAGTGAGGTAGAAGCGGAACACAAAGATCAAATGCCGGTTTCATTTTACACAAAATTTGCAAAAATCATGTAATTGATTTTTCTTTCAAATTGATATTTCTTTCAATGGAGGAAAAAATACTAAGGGAAATATAATATTCTTACATCAAACAACTTGTTCCTTCATTACAAAAACTCTCCCTGAGCTTTCCTTACAGGAATAATTAAAAATAAAATGGAGAAAACTCAAAAGTTTTGTGCTGGGAAAGAAGAAAAGTAATTTTACTCATGACATGAAGCTCCATTCACTTCCTTGCTTTCAGAAAAGCTTACCCTTTGTATAGCTAATGTATTGCATGGTACGATTCAGTTACCTTTTCTTCTTTTGTAGATTTTCTCATATCCTGCTACTATTTCAGATCATTGTATTTAATCTATCTTTCTATTCTTTTAAAAAAATCATTAAAGGTTCAATACAACCTATTACATATCTACCATTCCTCAGTGACTTTATCTACTTGAGGGCTTCCTTTTTCATACAGCAACCACAAAAGCATTAATAGTTTTGCTACTGGTCTTGCCCACCTGTTAGTATTAATGTAAACTAAGCAGACAAGCAAAGCAAAGACATAAAAAAAAACATGAAGGCAGGAGTTGGTGTCCTCAAAGATCAAAAGGAAAACCTCTCCAGTCTGGATGGACTGCAGAAGTGTTAGGACTACAACAATACAATACAATTCAAATAAGCATATATAACAGGAATATACAAATCAGCTTGGTCAGAACTGAATCATCAGTTCTGATAGCTGAACTCATTTGATACTTTAATTTGACTGTCCAAATCAATTCTGAACAAACAGCTTTTGTATAAGCCTTCAGAGTCAAATACTCGATTTGGAGATTTAATTCAATCAGCTTTAGTTCTCCAGATCAAAGGTTTGAAACTTCTAATGTGTAATTCTATATGAATTCAAACATTTATTTAGAGAAGTGTGCTTAGATATAATGTTAAAATAAAACAAAAATAATTTTTCTTCATCCCGGATTTAAGTAATCATGAAACTTACTACTTTATGTTTAAGCATATATTGGTAATCTTTAAACCAAAGAAGTTTTATCTATTGTTTGATTCTAGTTTTGACTCAGCTCCTTTTTTTTCTTGGTCTGCTGTAATAAGGAATAATTTCTTATCATGTCCAAACAAGGAAACAATGGTTTGCAGATCTGGAACATGGCAGGTAGCCAACTTAACTGAACTTGTTATTCAAAATCTTAATAGTCTCCTGGTTGAGACTCAACAGAGAATCCACGGCTTCCGTTTTATTTATTGCAGCACATCAGGAAAGGAAAATTAAGAAAAAAGAGCTGCAGGAGCACCTCATGACTTGAAACCAATGCAGAATTATTTGTATTGGGCCAATAGGACACTGTTTTGTCATTTTGGGATCATAACGGCCAGGTGCAGACCCCTTTGTTATGGGAACACTGAATGAGCATTGTAAAGCCAAAGGCTGTTGCAATCTAGAGATTTGTACTGTACTTTTAAGCTCCCTACTAGAGGAAGAACATACTTCCCTTTCTATTTCCTCTGATTGTTATTCTCTCCCTTCATTTTGCTCTGCAGCATATTTGCACTCCTGATCTTTGCAAGAACTAGGTGAGAGGACAGACAAGACCAAGAAGAAAAAGCTCAGGAAGCCACAACTAGTTAACTTTTCATTAAATTAATAATGAAGTTCACTAAGTTTAAACATTTCCATCCCAATCGCTGCCTAAAAAAAACTTTTGTATGATCTACCCTAGTGACCTGTGCTGCAAATCATTTTGCCGTTAGCTTCTGCTATGAAAAGAATTCAGAACTTCTCTAATATTTAATGCCTGATCTTTCATGAGGGCATGGATCCCCAAAGGTCCAACTGGAATAAGAAACCAAATATTATCTTTCAAAATTCAAGCAAACGTTGTTTGTCTAGTAAATCTTTCATTGCTAAATCATACAACCGAGCTTACCTTTTAATATAATTTGAGATACAGCTTAAGCAAACGGGGGGAAAGCATATTACTTCTTAGGAACCAAGTAATAGTAAGTCAGATAAAGATCACTATGCCAGGAACAAAATGTTATTTTAGAAGTATGCAAAACACTAGTTTGGAATGTGCACTGTGTGAAATTATGGAAATAAACATAGCTATGAAGACTTTTCCCTTTCTTCTTATAAGGTTTTATGCTGCAGCAACTGTTTTTCATATGAGTTCTTTGGAAAATGGACTTTGCTTAAATAGTTCTGGGAAGAATTAGCCAGAGAAATTGGAACTGTAACATGAGACATTCACCCAGGTCCTCCTACAGCCACAACTTTATCCAAATGCTGACTGTAGTTATTTTCCCAAAGCAGAGTGGGAAGTCATGATCACATATAGATGAGTCAGGAAAGACTATCCCCTTCCTGCTTCCTAGACTTTTTTTGAGAATTCTACCTTGGTTGTTTTTTTTGAGAATTCTACCTTGGTTCCAAGCTGTAATATTCATGTTTCAATGTCCAGAAGCTCTAGCAGTAAATCAAGAGGGACCAGACACAATTTAATTTTCTTTCCAACCAATAAAACCTAGGAAGTTGTTTGAGGAATCTCCTCTGTTTGCAGGGTTCTTTGGGAAGCTTATCCTTTACTCTTGTTGTGTTTTTCCAAAATCCTTATAAACACAACCTCTCATAATTATCTGGAGTGGCTAAAATATCAACATTATTACAGACCTGTATCTAGATGTTTAATATTCCTGATCATGCTTTTCAAAAATGTAAAAAAACAAAACAAAACAGGCAAGTAAGTCTACTATATTTCTCTTAGGTAATCTGGGATTGCAAACAAGAGAACTCCTCTCCCTTGATAAGGGTGCCCGGCTATTGTTTCTTTTCTCTGCCTCTCTCTCCAGAAGCACCAGTTCCTTCAACAGTTTGATCAGTTTTACACTGTCTTATATGCTATCATTTCTATTAAACGTTCAAGACAGTATATCTGACAATTCTCTTCATTTAATCCTCATCATAGCAACTGTCTAAGCATAGATTCAACTCAGAATGTGCCTGATTGTCCTCAAATACCAAGTGAGCTCCATTAGGTTAGGAGTAGATAGGAAATCCTATCCCAGAATTTTATCAATACTGCTTTATATAAAAAAATTTTTAAGCAATGTCCATTATTAAAGACAGTTTCATAATGATAACATTGTGTTATCCTTATATATACAAATTCCTTTTTAATACATATAACTGTATAAAAAGAACCACAGGAAGATGGACTTTAAAAAGAATTGAAGAGTGTCTGCCTCTGGCATCAGTGCAAATTTCAAACTTAGTGGAATCCATGTTCACTCATTATATCCTGACTGAAATCTGGGGCCACTTTCCACCAAATGAAACCAGCTCACCCCCACATGTTATTTTTTTCTTGTTTTGAATAACACTGCTATGCTAAAAAAAAAAAGCTAATAGTAAGCAGAGAAACAAGGGTATACTGAACAAAATAAACAAAATTCCCTTTTTGATTGATACAGTCTGAAGGGGGCTTGGTTGCATGCTATTGCTTTGCTTCCGAGTACCCTGGCTTTTTCCTAAAAAAAAAAAAAAAAAGTGTGATGGAAATTACCTCACAGTAGGATGCAGCATGGAAACCTAAAGGCCATTCCATATAGCAATCATAGCGCAATCTTAACTATAGTTTTCAAGTGCAAATTACAGAGACAGTAGCTGAAAGCATTTGCACCTGAAGAGCATTTGGCACTATTATCTGGTTCCCTTAAAGTAATCTTAATTATGAGGCAGCGACAGGCAAAGAGACAATTCTCAGTATAAAGACACCTGTTAAGGCACCAAAGCTGAGCAAACAAGGAATTAGCTCAGGGTGAAAGGAAGTGGGAGGACAAATCACTGCAAGCTGAAATGATAATGTATTAAAAAGAATACTAGAAACTCCATGTACATTCCACTGTTTATACCTGATTTCCCAGGAAGAACTGACAAGAGATGGAAAATGGGAAAAAAACACAATTAGTTTAACAGGAAATGTTCCACGTGACTCTAGAACACGCTATGAAAGGACACACATATTCCCAATAGCTAAATATAATTATGTACTTTACATATGTACAGGTAACATCAAATGTTTGGACTGTAAATGATGGAGAATGGAATTCTAAGTTATCTGTTGCTTCCTTGCATCATCTTTGATCAAATTTCTTCTGCCATTTGACAAAGTCTTCTTTCGTATCTATTTAAATCCCCCCCCAAAGATGCCCAACACATTTCCTAACTAATAAAACTGGGACATATGCTTTTTTATGAAAACAGGATGATAGTGAGATGCATTATTCAAATATCTTTGAATTCTAACCATGTTGGAAAGAATACCATTTAAATATTAATGAATAGTCCAATAAAAGATCTTACATATCCATGTAAGTATTACATTATAGCTTCTTCATTTTCTATTACTTTGCCTATGTTGTGATTATTATTGTCCGTTAGTAAGGTTGAAATAGGTTTTAATACTAAATTCACAGAATTCACGCTGTCTAAATTTGGTTTAATAACTCAGATCTTCAGGTTCTTTTCAGAGTAGCTAGGTATCAATCAATAGATGACATGAATGTATTTTTTAGACTTACTCTGTATTTATTGTCGCCAATCTGCTCCACCTGGAACCGCTTTGCACATTTACATTTTGCTACTTGCCTTGTCACCTGTCAATATGATAACCAGAACCACTGTATTAGATTTTTCAGCCATTCTGCATCATTGGTAAATTGTAGAGTATGACAATCTTTATGGAATTCTAATGGACAATACTTATAATAAGAGGTGAATAGAAGAAGAATACCTCATCTTCAATTTTGTCTGCATCTGTTAGAGGTTTGTATGCATCCTTGTTTGGATGAAGTGCTGCTACAAATTCATAATAGTCAATATAGCCATCACCATCTCTGTCAAAAATATCTGCTACTGCACTCATTTCCAGGCGACTCGTAGGAAATTCTATGGAAAAGAAGTGATACTGAACATTAGAATTACAAAGTTTTAGAAAGAGATTACTTCTAGAATCATAGAATTAAAGAGAATTTTGCAGGCTTTCTAGTCTACTCCTCTGCTTGATATGGGAAGGGCGAAACTAGAGGATCTGAAAAAGATGCTATCTACTCTATGAATGAATGTAACAAGAGTTGAACAATCTTCTGGCTCAGTATTTCTTAAACCTTTTAAATCCCTTCTCATTTTTAAAAATTATGGATGACCTCAAAAGACCTTTTGTAAATAAGGGTTATATTTATCAACATTAAATATTAAACTGATGCATTCGTAAAACTTTCAAACAATATCGAACCTATTATATATTAACATAAAATAGTTCTCACAAAAAGCCCTGTATTTTTAACAACAAAAAAAATGAGAACAGTGATATTGTTTTAAATTTTTGCAAATATCTTTCCATAGCTGGTAAATAATTTTCACTTCACAGATCCCTGAAAGGCTCTTGGGGGAACCCTCCTTAAGAATAATGGTTTGTTTTAAAACTTACTTGAAGAGAGAATCCCATCAATAAATTCCTGTCTTGTTATCTTCCCATCCTGATCTTTATCTATCCTCCTAAAGAAGTCCATTACTCGAGATTTCTTGTGGTTCATCCATCGCATATACTTCTTCCGCCAAATATCAAAATCGAAATTGGCAAATTCCCTCAGCTGGAAAAAATTATCATGAAAATTATTTGAGAGATGAATTGGCTTATGGTACCCAATATCCATGATGCTAAGATTTGGGACAGAACTGAACATTGGTTTCCTCTGTAATGTGAAAAATCAAATTGATGTGAAAAATCAAGCTAGTCCTTTCTATTTCCTGCCTAGCTCTCTGATCTTGGATTCCCAGCTGCCTTGGCCAAGGTCTATGAGCCTGAAGACTCCTTCAAACTGCAGTTCAACTACATTTATGGATCCCAAGCTATGTATCAACTTAGCATGAAGAATATGCAGAAGTTAACTTCAGCTGTCATTTGAAAATAAGGTTTAAAATTATTTCCAATTATTAAAAGAAAGACGGTTAGCATTCATCATGAATACTCCCTAATGCAAACATAACTTTAAATTTTGACTAATAGTCTCTTTTGAAGAGACTATTGGTGCTTGCCTTCCATTTTACCATTTGGCAAACCAATGCGTAACTCTACAGTTCCTTTGGTTCCTATTTTTAATGTAAAACCTTATTTGATTGCTGGGAATGGAAAAAGACTTGGTGGCACATAAACATTCATTCATTCAATCAATCAATCAATCATTATTTTGTGTGCCACCCATCTCGTCTAGGGGCAATGCTGATCCCATACACATTTTCTCTGTCACTTGTGTCACTTGTCACGCCCTTCCTGTTGGTACACGACAGAAGCATATTGGGTACCCTGTCCTTCCATGGAGTGTGCTGGGTACTCAATGTATGGCCATGTACTTTCTCTCCAAACATTCAGAAGAGAAACTGCACTGACGATCAAGGGCTAACCACATACCCTCTGAGTGTCAGAGGTGACGAATGGTTGGTCCCCCCTGCCCAAGAGAAATGCCGCTACCACTCATGCATGAAACAGAACTTCATTTAAGGCCCTGGGGTGATTATTTTAACTACTGTTACTAACTTCTTCTAATCGGTCTAAGGCATCGTTAAGTTTCCTTCGTCTCTCCAGGGCCAGGAGCCAGACTTGTTGCCATTTGCTGAGCAAGAGGTTAATCTGTGGATTCTTCGTCTCAATTTGGGTCTGAGCCCCTGGAGGATATATGCTCGGGGCTGTAGAACGTTTTCCTGTTAAAGACAATTGCATATGCATCAAAAACTGCGCATCAAAGCTACACCTTTCAAAGCAATTTAGAAGAAAGATAATATGACACATATGCTTGTTTGGTTGCAAATAATACTCGGTTCTGTTTATGGAGGGCAGCTATAAACCCAGATGGCAGGAGTCAGTTACAATGGGCCACAGGAGTAAAAGTTACCAACTCCTAGTTTATTCTTGCCACTTTTTAAATGAGAAAAAAATAGAGCTTAGAACCACTCTATGCAATAAAACAATGGTGAATTACTGCTGCAATCTATAAACAGCCAAGTAATGTTGAAATATGATACTCTCAATGCCTCACAATAGAGCATTACTTACTTCCTCCTCTTCCCTTATCCAATACAGGAATATGAGATTGGACTGGGCTAGTTTCAGCTGCTTTTCTTTTATGTGTCTTCGTAACTTTATCCACATCGGGCTGTTTTCTGGTCATTTCTTCCATGAATGTCTGCAATTAAACGGCAATTACTTTGACTAACATTGCATCAAAATAACCTGAAAAATACTCAGCGAAACAACAGATTTGGTGTAGTGGTCTATGGGGCCTATGATACATACCTAATGCATCTGCATCACACATGACTTTTTCAGTATTTACTTTTAAGATTTCATTTCATTCATTTATTCGATTTGTATCCCGCCCTTCTCCCGAGGGACTCAGGGCGGCTCACAACATTTTTAAAACAGAAACATGCCCACAATCCCGCCGAATAAAACCAATTAAAACCCAAATATTTTAAAGTTGTGATATTTAAAATTTTCTAAAAATGAACCCGATTTAAAATCCTCCCTAGGCCAGGCCCGCTTGCTGGAAAAGCCATGTCTTGAGGGCGCGGCGGAAAGTAAGGAGATCCGGGATCACCCGGATCTGGGGGGGTATCAATACAGGTAGTCTTTGACTTACAAGAGTTTGTTTAGTGATGGCTCAATGTTACAAAGACACTGGAAAAAGGGACTTATGACCAATTTTCACACTTATGAGGGTTGCAGCATCCCCATGGTCATGTGATTTATATTCAGATGCTCGACAATGGGTTCATATTTATGACTGTTGCAGTGTCCTGAGGTCCTGTGATCATCTTTTGCAACCTTCGGACAAGCAAAGTCAATGGGGAAGCCTGGTTCACTTAACAACCCAGGTTACTCATTTAACAGCTGCAGTGATTCACTTAACAAATGTAGCAAGAAAACTCGTAAAACAGGGCAAAACTGACTTAACAAATTTCTCACTTAGCAACAAAAATTCTGGCCTCCGTTGTGGTCATAAATCAAGGGCTACCTGTACTACAAACTTTCTAACACCGGAAGTGTAACAGGATTGATTGATCTGCTGTGAGTGGATGAGAATGACAATAAAGTGATCAACTTTCTAATTCGTATGAAAATAAAATACTTGTACCATCACCTAAACTGACAGAAAAGTATGTTTTGTCCAACAGAGACAAACTCGCATTACAAAAAGATTTTTTTTAGAAATATGTTTAGGACAAACCTAATGTTTGCATGAGTCAGTTCTATTTACCAAACAGTCATTCTCTGTTTCTTCTTTTAGTTCCCAGGCCTCAAAATCTCCTTTGGAGGTCTGACTTGTTTAAAAGAAACTTTCTGCAGGCCTTGGGGGGGGGGCAGGCTACAGAGAAGAGAAGAAATGCTGCTTATCCTCTGTTAAAACTATTTCTCTTCCTTCCTTCCTTTTTTTGAAATGAAGGAAAGACATGCTCTCCGTTTCCAGAGACACAGCACAGAACATCACTGTTTGAAACAAAGGCGCCCTAACTTAGCACAGACATACTCTGGATTACTTTCGTTTTGTGTCCAAGACTTTTAGTCCCTCAGACAGCAACCCTACTGCACTGTTAAAATACTGGCTAGTTTGCCCTCTGCAAGGACAAAAGAAAAGCTTAAAAGTCACGTGCTACTGACATGTTTCCTTGCCAACGTCATTTTGAAGAACTCTTTTATTCTCTGTGCTACCTATTTGCTTTAAGCACAAAAGTCACACTGGGCAACAAACAGATACGAAACATTTAACGAATGTATATGTTTTGGTCAGCTGTGTGAGCAATGTAGGATTTTCACATTTTGTAAATTTCTGGTCTGCTTGAAGTGCTATCTCCTCCCATCCAAGGTGAGAAAGAGCTTTAGGAGAGAGAGCCCTGGTTCTCTTACCTGATGCTCTGCTATGAGTGCCTTGACATCATCAATCTCCTGAGGAATGACTTCTTTATCTTTTTCAGTCAGCGTTGTCTCTGCCCACTGCAGCCAGGATAATAGTGCTTCCAATAACTCCTGGTTAGCAATAAGGGCAGCCAGGGCTCCTGCCAACCTCTGTTGATGTTGCTTTGCCCATGCTATCACCTTAAAAAGAAGGAACAGCAATATGTTATGATTTCCACATTATTGTTGTTGTTCATTCACAAAATTAACCCAAGGGTTTTGCCTTCTACTCCCTTCTTGCAAGAAATCTCCAGGGTAAGAAAGAACAGAGGTGATGGCCAATTCTTAAGTTTCAGGTAGACAGGCCATCACTATGTAATTTTTAATTGCTTTTAATGGAACTTCCATGTGCCTTAGACAAGGGTTTTCATTGACAGTTCAAGAAACAAGCTCACCTATTACTTAACATGATTATTACTTAATAATATGATTATTAACATGATATTACTTAACATGCAAAAAACTGATGACTGGTTTCTATTGGATCATCAATTTAAAGCAGGGATGAATACCACAGAGTCCCCTAAACGTCAGACTGCATTTCCTGTGCCAATTACAGCTCAACAATATTTGGAAATATTTGGGTTGTCCATTCCTGTTTCAAAGCTAATGTTTTATGTTCAAGATCCCATTTTCTAGGTGGAGTGAGAAACTGACACAAATGTAAATGGATACAAGTTTCTGTTCTACTGTATTTCTTTCTCCTGATATAACCATAAAAAAGTCTAAAGCAAGAACTAGTACCCAAGACAGCACAGATATGTTAAACATTTTGCTCTCAAAGGTTGGAACATTTCCTCACAACATGGCCTTGCTAATTGCTGGATGTCAAGGACTGACTGTGACTACATAGGATTGCTTGAATTGGACTGACCTCTTCGAATCTTGCTCGGATGATGGTTATCCAGTGCTTAATGGTAGTGATGGAATCTGGATGGCAAATAGCCAGGATGGCCTCCCCCATACCTGTAGCTTTAGTTAGCTCAATCTTTTTTTCTTCCAGTTTCTTTATGAATTCCTAAGGCAGAAAAGGCAGTGATTTCCATGAGATGTTGGCACTAATTCAAAGGGAAAACTCAAGTAATTTCAGACTTTGCTGGTAAGGTCAAAGAGGCAAGTGCTTTCGCATGAAGCATTGGCAGAATAGAGAGCAGAAGGAAATAGCAGAAAAGTCCAACATTCTAAAATAAAAGTTCTGAAATAAGAGTTGAACAGTTGCACCAACTGAAGTGAAAAGTCATTAATAGTGAGGAACATATTTCAGTGTGCAAATCATTAATATTGGAATTAAAGTGGCCAAACTAATAATCACTATAACCTTAAAGAAGGACATATATCTTTAGGTACCTTGGGCATGCTGCCGTTTAACATATACACATCTTTCATAATACAATAGTATTCATATCTTACTGCTTGTTTCTGATGAGTCAGGAAAACAAATATCAGTTGCTCCAGCGACTTTAACTTTGTGGGTTAATATCTGCTTTATTAAAATACTCAGCAAGAATTTAAGTAAACAGGACAGACTGTATTTTTAATCCTTAAAGTAGGGATTCAATTTTGTAGAAACAAATCCTAGAACCTGGCAGAAACAGGTTTCACCTTGCAGGATTTGGAGCCTCTTTTTGGAGTATTTTCTTACTACTGGACCGAAAGGAACTCAGAGAAGAGATGCTTATAATGCACAACACGATAGGTGATTATTATGAGACCCTGAATTCCTTTTCAGTCAGAATACGTCCCAAGACAAGACAACATTTCTAATTTATCGTCAGAAGGCTAGTAGGGTTAAGATAAACCAGTGGTGGCGAACCTTTTAGAGACCGAGTGCCCAAACTGCAACCCAAAACCCACTTATGTATCATCGGGTGCCGGGTGGGTGAGTGTGGCCCATTGGCTGGGTGTGGCCCATTGGGTGGGCGTGCCCCATTGGGTGGGTGTGGCTGTGGTGGTAACAGAAGATTGGGTAGGACTAAAACATTCAATCAGTCAATTCCAACTTTGCAAGATCTTTTTTTTCCTGCGAGAAGTTGAAATTGATTGATTGATTGAACCTTTTTTTTTTCACATGGTGGCGGAGGCCTAAAGCGAAAAGGTTTTATAAAACCCAGCTGAAGACCTAGGACCGGGGTGACGGTGCGCGTGCCCACAGAGAGGGCTCTGCGTGCCACCTGTGGCACACGTGCCATAGGTTCGCCACCACAGAGATAGACTATCACCCAAGTCCCCTTTATCTGCAGCTTGAAAAACACAAAAAAATCATACCACTGGCATTTAATGGCATGAAATATTTTTTTTCAGCTTCTCTTTTAAAAAGCAGTATTATCTGTGCATTATACTTCATATGTGAGTTAAGACACTTATTTTACTGATCCTTCCTGTATTCTAGGATAAAATCCAAAGCAAGGCAAGGCCAGACCAGGCCACACTTTTTCCACATTCATTGCAGCATATGCTGTATTTAGGCAAACTCCCATTCATCCAATGCACACGTCCCAGACACCAGCCAATCAAGAGAATTCATAACACTTTCAAGGACAAGATAGCATGATTGGGAAGATGTGGGCAGGAAAGTCTAGACTTGTTTAGGCAGAAAGGAAATCCCTCAACCCTCCCTATGGGGTTAAAACCTTTGAGCCAAGGGGAAAGAGGCGGCATTTCTACAAGCCTCTTGGGAGATGGGAAAGGAGGTAGATCACCTGGGACAAGGCCAAGCAAAAAAGAATACCTGGAAGAGAAAGGAAGATTGGTGGGAGGAGACTGGCAAGGTGAAGCCTGAGAACAGCTGCCTGCTTTAGGTGAGCTGGTTTCCAAAAGAAGCAGAAAAAAAAGCAGGGCTGGAGCTGTAATGCTCAAGGAAGGAAAGAGAATAAGAGGATGACCTCAACAAGATTAACTGCAGTTGCAGCACTGGAATACCTGAAGGACCAGTTTAAGGACAGATCATCGTGGAGAAAATCTATGTGGTCATTAGAATTGACACCAACATGATGATACACAATCAATCAATCAATCAATCAATCAAGTGCTATTTAACAGTTCACTGATTAACAATGAAGCAGACCGCCTCTGGAAATAGAGGAGTGCCTGCTGGAAGTATTTAAATAAAGGGCTGAATGGCCTTTTGTTGGGGTTGCTGAGGTAGTAGAATCCTGTAATGAGCAGGGAGGGAGTCGGAATCAATGAGCCAAAGGCCCCTTCCAAGCTTTACATTATCTGTAAGAATGATAAAGTGTACTGCTGTCTAATAATAACACCTCCATTAAGTAGATATGCCAGTTGAATTTACATTTACAGTATTATCAAAAGTATCAGTTACATAAACAGAAGATTTCAGTCTGTAGCAACTGCTTTGCTTAATAAGGCCTCTTTTCTAGAACAGAAAACACCCTTTCTTTGCTAGATATAAATAAGCCAGGAGTACTTTTATTTTACTGTAACGTTTCTATAAATCTAATTTTGAGAACTGGTCCATTATCCCAGGGGGCCCCAATCCCCAGTCCATGGACCGTTACTGGGCTGCGGCATGCCAGAAACCGGCCTCTGCAAACAAGTGAAGCCCCATCTGCGGTATACAGGCAACACACGAAACCATTCCCCCTCCAGTCCATGGAAAAACCTCTTTTCACGGTCCCTGGCCCCTGCACAATCCAACTCACCCTATGCTGATCTATTAGCGTACGCAGAGCTTCTTCGTCATCTGGAAGGATCCCATGGAAACGCAGGGTCTGCTCGGCTTCAGCCAGCCATTCCAGAAGCACATGGACAACCGAGTGGAATTCCTCTGCCTGCACAAATGGAGGTGTGTGTGTGTTTGTGTGTCAAGGAAGGCAGAGCAAATATGTACGAAGACAATGGGCTCAGAATGGCAGTTACTTATCATTCAGCAGCGAAATCACATTAACGTTCAAGTAAGAAATCTGATTTAAAAACCCTTGCTATCCCTGACTGTAAAATGTCAAACCTTTTTTTAAAAAAAAAAAAATCTGAAGGAAGTCCAATGAACTGTTTATGAGTGCTTTTAAATGTACTATAAGATTTATGCCACACATGAAAGTTGTATGAGCAATTTGCTATCCTGCCTATAGATTACAAAAACAATGCTTAAGTCTATGAGCTGGAGCTATGCTAATGAACATCAGTTAGTCTGAGGGAAGAAAGGGGGAAGTTAATTAAAGCTGTGTATAGATCCCAGTTTCTCTCTGAGAGTTGAAAGCAACACTGCTCCTGAGATAATGCTTTCTGGTGACAGAGTTTCCCTTTTCCCCCAGGTTCTGTACGAGCCTTAGTTTTTCAAATTATAATACAGTTTTGCAAAGTCCTGAATAAACAGGAAACAGGGTCTTCCCAAACATGCATGTACAGATAGTTCTTGACTTACAACCAATTGTTTAGCAAGTGTTTGAATTTATGATGGACCTCCCCAGGGCTCCTTATGATCCAAATTCTGATGGGAGGGGCGATCCCTCTGGGATTACATGATCGCATTTTGGGAGCTTGCAACCAGTTCATATATATAACCATTTGCAGCATCCCAAAGTCACATGCGATTTATAACATTTATTTTTTTGACAGGAACTGGCATTTACTTCTAGTTTCTGCCAAAAAGTGCTTAACAGCTTGCAATGATTCACTTAACGACTATTGCAAAAATGGTTGTAGAATCAGGTGGATCACACGGTGATGAGCATAATGACTGGCACAACTTTCAACAGTAATTTTGGGTTCAATTATGGATGTAAGTCAAGGACTACATATACACTTTGGAGCAAGTGGTGGTGACATTTCATAGTTGTCATTTAAATCTCTTTCTCTCTCTCTCTCTCTCTCCCTTCCTCCCTCACTCCCTCCCTCCCTCCTCCCTCCCTCCCTATCTCAAACTATATATATAGTAATTATGGTATATTATTATTATTATTATTATTGTTCGAATTTATATCCCGCCCTTCTCCTTGCGGACTCAGGGCGGCTGACAATCAATTAAAAACACCAATAACATCACAAAATTTAAAATTAATTAAAATGAAATATTTAACTTGTCTAATTTAAAATATTATTAAAAACCCCTCTAAAAACCCCTCTTAAAAATTACCCTAGGCCAG